AGAATTCAGCGCCAACTTCAAAACGTTTCATTCTTGTTTAAAAACAGAGAAAGGACAACATGAAAACATTCCGCAATCTCAACAAAAGACAAGTCATGAACAGTTCACTAGGAATTGTTAGAAAAATCTATTATACATCTGTCAAACCAGGGAAATCAAGATAGACAAAACTTGAAAAGGTCAATAATGTTCAAAAATCAGGAACACTTTGCGAACAACCTGAAACATTTCGTATTCGTATGTGAAACCAGGCATCACAGGTAGAGAACATCTAAATGTCAGGAATGTTCGAAAAGAAGTCTACGAATTAGGAACAGTTTATCAGGAACTTGAAAACTTCATGATTATTCTCTTGATGACAGAGAAAGAACAACAGAAAAAAACTCCAAAACGTAACAAATTTCAAAACTAATTCAAGGTGACCAATAGTTGACCAATAACTTGAAAAGTTTAGTATTATTCTCTGGAGAACAGACAAAGAAAAACACAAAAAGAACTTCAAATTTCAACCATTTTAAAAAAGAACTCGACAGCTGACCAACAGTTACGCCAGAACTTGTGAAGGTTGTTATTTGTTTTTCAAAGTATGAAATGCAGAAAGGTGCCCAGTTATCAATCAAGTTTACTTCAACTTGAAAAAAGGTGCCCAGTACAGATACTTTGTCAAAACTTATTCCAAAAAGAGATACGAAGAAACACAAAGACATTTAAAATGTCAATAATTCCCAAAAGAACTGCAAAAAATAATTCACTATCAACTTGAAAACGTTTTATTCCTCTTTTAAAAGAGAGAAAGACAATCGGAAAAAGTTCAAGAGGTCAACAATTTCAAAAAACACACTGTTGAAGTCATGATGAAATAAAACAAGAAACTGCAAAATGTCAACAATATCATCAAAAATCCAGAAAGGTGCCCAGTTGTTCATCAAGTTGACTTCAACTTGAAAAAAGGTGCCCACTACCGTTGGTTTAGACAAGTACTTTGAAAAAGAGATACTAACAAGCAAATCCAATACCTTAACTATTTCGAAAACAACTCCAGACGTCTCAAACCATTCAACAAATTGAAAACTCTATCCTTCTTGTCCGAAAATAGAAAATGCAAAGCGGTGCCCAGTTATGAACAAAGTTCAGTTGAACTTGAAAAAAAGTTGCCCAGTACAGTTATTGCTCAAAAGTGATTTCAAAAAGAGATACCAACAACCAAAATCAAATTTCAAATGTGAAGAATTCCAAAATGTACTATGAATATTCTCTGAAAAGAGTGATAAATCAAGTTCGCTTGAATTTCAAAAAACGTACTCAGTAAATGTAGCTGCTGAGAGCCACTTTGGGCGAGTGCCCTAGCTATCTGGGTCCTTGACTCGAACGGAGAAGGCAAACTAGACTGAATTCCTGATGACAATAACTTTATTCGACCTTTCTCGTCGAGAAATTTTTGGGACCGCGTGCTTGCCGTCCCACAATGCAACTTGACAAAATATAACACAGGGAAACCGTACGATAGTTATGCTACATGGCTCCCCCAGACATGAGAATGTATGAACAATAACAAAAAACGATACTAAATGTTAATAACTAATGTCAATAAAGTGTTTATGGCTCCTCGTCGGGGAACTATCCCGGTGAAGCTTCTTGAATGAGTATCAGCTTGTGAATGGGTCTGTCCAAATATGATCTTCGATTGTTGCGTGTTAGCAATATCTGAACCTTGCGAACTAAGCCATCGGTGCTTGGATAAACTTTAACAATCTTTGCGAGTGGCCAACTGATTCTAGGTAAATCTTCGTCACAAAGTAGAACTATGTCTCCGACTTTACTGTTCCTCTCAGGCTTGATCCACTTCTGTCTTTTAGTAAGAAGGTGACAATATTCTTTATGCCAAGTTCTCCAAAACTGTTCCGATAAACATTGTACTCTTCTCCATCTTTTTCGTGAATACACATCAGGTGGTAAGAATACGCCTGGTGGCGGCTGCACTGTTCTTGATTTCAGCGTGAGTAAGTGATTCGGGCTGATTACTTCTTCGCTGTCTGGTTCACTCATGTTCTGTACTGTAAGAGGACGACTATTTACGATGTTCTCAGTTTCAACAAACAGGGTGCGCAGACCTTCGTCGTCAAGTTGAGTTCCTTGTGTTTTCAGAAGACTGGAGAGAACAGTACGCACCGTGCGTATCTGTCTCTCCCAGGTGCCTCCCATGTGTGAGGCACTGGGTACATTGAATTTAAACTTGATAAGATCACAGTCATTCTTCAATAAGAAACTCTTGACCGCATTTTCATCTAAT